AATTTATTCCATATCTTCTGTAACCATAGGCTAATTTTCTCCGTTTTGAGTCCCTTATACTCCCCCTTCTGTCCAGCATAAGGCTTCATACTCTAAAATCGAATAAACTCGGAACTGGTGACTAGGACGGCCATTCATTCGAACAACCCTTTACAGTTTTTATTTTTTTTTTTTGTAATTTTTTATACGATGCCTAAGAAAAAAAAAAAAAACCTGAAAAAGACTTGCGTGCTAAGTGAACTTTTCTCTCAAAGTTTTACTGCTGGCAAATGGAAATAAGGATTACAATTTAAAAACTAATTAATACAACTAAAGTAAAATCTGTGGAAAATTAACAATAAAATAGTTTTTTCACAAAAGCTATAAAGGACCTTTTTATTTCTCAAAAAAGACCTGGGTAACAGTTATTCGTCGCCACGCTGTATACATATCGTCGTTTAAAGTACAAAACCGCGCATAAAGAAAATGCAAAATCTCGTTAATTTTATAGGAGAGATTAAAACTTGTTTTATTTCAAAACGGTTGTTTCTTTTATCCATAATTATACCTTCTTGTTATGACTAAGTATCGATATTTTAGTATGAATGGATCAGGGCTTTGTGGCAGGAGCTTCCTCCGGTGAGCAAATATCTTTTTTGGCACAAAAGTCAGTGACGAGGTTTTTCAGAACCACGATATGCGGTTGTGTACTTTAAACGGCGATATGTACATATATTGTATGACCGCTGTGGTGTAGTGGTTAGCAGTGAGCCTTACCATTCAGCGGGCCTTGGTTCGAGCCCAGGTTCTGACCAACATCAAAAAATAAAACATAAAAAGGTTTTTTCTAATAGCGGCCTCGGTAGGCAGTATTTCTGTCATGAAACAAAGCTTATGATAAAAATATGTTAGCTCAATAAATAGGGGTAAGCTTACAAAAATTCGCATAAAGCTGAAAAATGGCACGAGTGTTGCGAACACCATTATGAATGAAATGTCAAAGTGCCCATCGATCCCATGTCTGCAAAAATATTTATTCAAGGTCAAAGGTCACATAAATTTCTTTTTGGCATTTTTCAGCCAAATGGTGCGGTTTATCATAAAAATAGGCGAGACTAAAGTGTAGATCATACAATTACCTATAAAAACTGTTGCAACGTTTTTCTTCCTAAGGATTACCATTTCTGAGACATAGTGATTCAAAATTGTTGTAAAAGGTGTGTTCTCCATAGTATGCAAAACATAAGTTTGTGTAGACATTTTTGTATGTATCTCTACTTAGGTACTCATAACTTCTACATTTAATATTCAATTTATATGGGCAGGGCTTTATTGTATTTATGAAAGATCATGCTTTGACGTGCAAGAATCCAAAAGTTGACAGGTTCTTCATATTAATATTTTTTACCGAAAGTATTTTTTTATTTATTTTTTTTAATTATGCAAAATTGTCGATGAATCAATGATTAGCTCCTAAACTACTAATCCGGTTGCAAAATATCGTTTACGTAGAAGATAGTAAATTTAATAAGTTTCACTACTGTGGAAAAAAATTTAAGATTCACCAGCTATACGGTCCAAAATTTGGGTTTAATTTTTAAACCGCGTTGGGACTACTGCCCTTTTAATCTTTTATAGTCAATAGTTTTAAGCAATTTTTAATATCCCTGCAGGGAAAGCTACTAGTTATGAACTAGAATTCTACCGGTTTGCGTTTCAGCCGAACTAGTTCACGTTTTATCCTTTTTCAATGTTAGCGACTGGTATTTTTAACATTGCGATGTCCTACGAGATGTCAATTGTGAGGCTATGCATCAGCAACTACTAGTATAAATACTAGTAGTATCATATCAGTTGATGAGATAGTCTGCCAATTCATGCCCCGTGAAAAGCATAAGTGTGCCTTTTTGCTCGCGACGCTCCAACAGTCACAATGGGCGACAGAGCAGAGCACTCGCATGGTTAGCCTGAGGTCCCAGGTTCAAATCCTGGCACAGGGAAAATTTTTTTTATTTTCAATTTTTATTTTATTTTTATTTTTAATAAATTTATTTTTTTGTTTATGCTGTTTATTGTAATTTTTAAATTTACTAAAAAAATATTTTTGTTTAATTTCTTTGTTTTTATATTTCTTTCTAAATGTTTTTTTTGCAATGCAATTCGATTTTCGAATTTGTTATTTATTTATAAATTGAATAAATTATTTTTACTTACATTTATTTAACTTTAAAAATCTTAACCACCTCCAAGCGGCCTCGAACCTGCGATTTCAGAACCAGAACCAGCAGTCTTCACGTGACGCCACAGCCGACATTGGTGAGAAAAGCAATTAATTGCGTTTTATTTTTGGCTTTGGCACTTCAAAGGCAGATGTCGCTGATCGCCTAAGTTCTTTGAGATTGTCGAACTGGTAGGCACATACACTGGTTTGGCTTTTCACTGCAGGGATATTCTGGTTTAAATTTTAGTCCAAAAAGTTCGTGGTATAAAAATCAAACCAAAATGTTTTAATTATAATTTCATATATAGAAAATTTGGTTTGGTTATTGATTCAAACTGAACATACTCGTATGAAAGCACATTTACATGCGTGGCTGTAGCTGAGTGTGCAAAGATGATTGATACAATTGGTTGCTACCAAGTTTACCGGGTTCAATCCCCATCGGACGGAGCATGAAATTTAAGATTTTTTATTCTTTATTATGAAAATGTTTGGGTTTAAAATTTAAACCGAACTGCTTAAATTCTAAACCCAAGATATGTTCTCTCTTTTTTTATACCCGAGCGCACTTGTGCACAAGGGTATTATAACTTTGTTCACATAACGGTTGTTTGTAACAGGCAAAACGAATCGAGATAGATATAGACAAATGTATACATAAATGATCAGGATGAAAAGAGAAATCGATTAAGCGGTGACTGTCTGTCCGTCCGTCTGTCCGTCTGTGCACACGATAACTCGAGTAAAAATTAAGATATCTTAACGAAACTTGGTACGTGTACTTCTTTCGGGCGTAGGACGGATGGTATTGAAAATAGGCAAAATCGGACAATAGCCACGCCTACCTCCCATATAACGGTAATTTTCAGAAATACGAAAACTGCGATATTTTAGTAACTACTGAAGATTATTCACTCAAAATTGATATTTGCAATAACTTTTAGACGAAAAATAAGAATATTATAAATTTTTGAAAAATGGGCGTAGCCACGCCCACTTATGGTTACATGTGTATATCTTGGCAACCGCTGCACCGATTTCTTCCAGACTTGGCACAGTTATTGGCCTTGGTACCAGGATAACATTTTGGAAAATGGGCGTGGCACCGCCCACTTATGATCACATATATGTATCTCGGTAACCGTTCCACCAATTTGTACCAAACTCGGTATGGTTATTGTGCTTGCCACATAAAAGCAAAACGTTCAAAATTACTGAAATCGGACTAAAATTACGGCTTTTCATATAACGGTAAATTTTAGAAATGCTTGAAACGTCAATATTTCGAAATTTAAGGACGCTTATTTATTCAAAATTGATACACCCCGGCTTACCATGTAGCGGTAGCTTTCGGAAAGGTGAAAAGCCATATATGTAATACTTGCGCCGGGTATTTAATGTTCGGCCCCGCCCGAACTTAGACTTTCTTACTTGTTAAACTTGGAAGGTTTGTATTTGAAACTGAATTTAGTTTGGTCATATATGTAGTACAAAGAGTTTAAAATTAAAACCTAAATTTTGAACAGTATATGTACATATATAAAAAAAATGCACCGCGGCGATCACTTCCAATGGTATTATTTTTTTTCTGCAATATTATTTAGTTAAATAGGACTACAATAAGTCGTGCAGTAGGCCTACCCGGGAAGACAGGTTAAAAAACGTAACAAAAACATTACCCCACAAGTACAGTGTAAATAAAATTGTGCATATTTTCGAGAACACAATTTTTTGAATCGCTATATCTCAGATATGGTAATCCTTAGGCAGAAAAATGTTATGACCGTTTTTATAGATAATTGCATAATCTACACTTTTGTATCACCTATTTTTGTGATAAACGTTACCATTTTGCCGAAAAATGCAAAGATTAAATTTATGTGACCTTGAATATATTTGTTTGAAGACGTGAGATTGATGGGGACTTTTGACATTTCATTTATAATGGTATTTGCAACAGTCGTATCAGCCTTATGCGAATTATTGTAACCTTGAATGTCTAACTTGACCGGGCTATATGTACATATGTACGTACCCCTATGAACCGAGTGTAGTAGAGATCAATAAACGATTACTGAGTGTATAGTAGTTTAGCCGATTGTGACTATTTTAAATATTAGCCTACCTCGGAACTGGGGCAATATACTTGCCAAGTTTCAGTAAAATACATACCATAATAGATTGGCGCTTATACATGAGTTAGTGTTTGGCCGAGTTTCTTTTCCGATTTGGGGCGAGCGCCTTGATGTTGCCACACAAACGGCGACATACATATAACTTTTAATTAGATTTGTAATGGGCAGCGGGTTGATTTTTCTCTTTATTCGGAACATTTGCATGCACATTTGTCTATACATATTTATTAAATATGTTCAAATCCTTTCTGTTTGCGTATGAATTGTACTATCACTTTTAAATCACCAACTTTTTCGCATAATAATATTGCACATTTTTATCAAATATGTACTTGCGCATAATTTATTATTTTTCCATTACCTCTGTAAGTATTCACCATCGCGAATACAAATGGGAATTATGTATAAAAAATAAGGAATGCATACGCTTAGGCTATTCACTCTTTGAATAAGCGTATTTCTTTTAGTTAGCTTCTATCGTTCACTTCATTCCATTCGTTATTCTTCCGTTTCCAAAATGTGTATGGCCTTCAACTTAAGACATACGTATCTACGTACATGTAAATAAGTAGTATTTCTTTTTGACTGTGGTGCTGCAAATGGCAGTAGCCTTGGTATTGTGCTGCACTTTTATATTTATAACTGCTTATTATTATAAATCACAGGAAATCGTCATTATTAAAGCTGAAGGCGAACGGCTGGGAATGCACATTAAGGGCGGTCTTAATGGCCAACGTGGCAATCCAGTTGATCCCACCGATGAGGGCGTTTTTGTGTCAAAAATTAATTCAGTCGGTGCAGCAAGGCGTGACGGAAGGCTGAAGGTATGTATTGTGTTGTCATAAGAAATGTGGAGCAACAGTTTTCAATGAGTCAGAGAGTTTTCAAAAAGTCATTTGTTTACGAAAATAGGCGCAAAATCGAAATTATGTAATTTGAGATTCCAAAATGATTTGTGACTGCGTTTCCATTGCTAAATCTTTTTATTTACGTAGATTTGTTAATTTTCATTTGAACTAATTGTTGGTCTTTGTTACTGTGCTTGCTTTAGGTTGGCATGCGATTACTGGAAGTCAATGGGAATTCACTGTTGGGAGCCTCGCATCAGGATGCCGTGAACATTCTGCGTAATGCTGGCAACGAAATTCATATGATCGTGTGTAAAGGCTACGACAAATCCAATTTAATTCATTCCATTGGTGCAGCCGGGGGTATGAGCACTGGCTTCCCCGCGCCAAGCAGTCGGCATGGTATGTATGCAACAAGAGGTGCTATGTTATACCAAATTAAAACGCTAATCTACTCGTACATTTCATATGAATAACGCCCGTATCTTTATTTTCGAAAAAATATATATATTAATGCGAAAATAAAGGAATTACTGGTACTATGTGTACTTGTTTTACACCCCGCTACTAAATGCCATGGTTTAACAAAAACCAGGTAAATCCAAATTTCTAACTTTGTACAAAAATTAGAAAAATTCAAAAAAGGTGCAGACCGTCCATATGCTAGTTTAAAGTATCTACAAAATGCCGTTGATTTTTGACAATTTTCTTTTTGCTGGCGGTGTCACGCACTGTTTTCCATACACAGTTACTATGATCGACAATTTTTTTTTGTATGGAAGAAAATAGATAATAACACCGCCGAAAAAAAAATTCGAAACTCAATGCGAAATCTTAGCCTCTTGAGGCACTATTACTTAAATTTAATGGGGTACAACCAGGGCTGCCAACTGTCCTTCGCTATGAGGTGCCATATTGAGGATAAAAAAGTGCCAAAATGTGCCAAATAGAAAAATTAACGGGCCAAAAAAGGTGCCATCCTTTGTAATCCCTCCCATTTAGCAATAAAATAAGAAACACATTTCTAAAACATAAGTCCAATGCCAAAATAAGATAAACCAGTTGAATAACCTTTAGAAATTAGACAATTTTAGTTGAGAAAAAGAAGTAGACACCAAGGATTTCACTTTTTAAGTCCCGAAAATCCCGGGATTATTTGCCAAGAATCCCGGGACATTCGGGATTGGTAATTTGCAATAGTGGCAATAATAGAATGCCTTATGTTGAACAGTTTTCGCTATATTTCTTTTGTTTAATATTTAATATTTTTTTTTATATGTGAGACATTCTTTTTAATATCGGACATCAAATTTGATGTCACACTTTCGATTAACTTAAAAATTTTTGTTAGGTTTGCAAATCGATAAATAAAGAAACCACAATATATAAATATGGATATCAAAATCGATAAATATCGATAACAAAATCGATAAATATTGATACCCAAATCGATAAATATCGATATCAAAATCGATAAATATCGAAAAAATCTATAAGAAAATCTACAAATATCAATAGCAATATCGATAACAAAATCGATAAATATGGATAACCAAATAGATAAATATCGATAGTTATCGATAACAAAATCGATTTTGTTATCGATATTTACCTATTTGGTTATCGATATTTATCTATTTTGTTATCGATATTGCTATCGATATTTGTAGATTTTGTTATAGATTTTTTTTTCGATATTTATCTATTTTGTTATCGATATTTATCTATTTGGATATCGATACTAATCGATATTGCTATCGATATTTGTAAATTTTGTTATAGATTTTTTTTTGATATTTATCGATTTTATTATCGATATTTATCGATTTGGGTATCAATGTTTATCGATTTTGTTATCGATATTTATCGATTTTGTTATCGATATTTATCGATTTTGTTATCCATATTTATAGATTGTGGTATCTATATTTATCGATTTTGTTATTGATATTTATCGATTTTGTTATGGATATTTTTATCGATTTTGTTATCGATATTTTTATCGATTTTGCCATCGAAATTTTCATCAAATTTTTCATCGATTTTGTTATCGATATTTATATATTTGGTTATCGATATTTATCGATTTTGTTATCGATATTGCTATCGATATTTGTAGATTTTGTTATAGATTTTTTCGATATTTATCGATTTTGTTATCGATATTTATCGATTTGGGTATCGATATTTGTAAATTTTGTTATAGATTTTTTTTGATATTTATCGATTTTATTATCGATATTTATCGATTTGGGTATCAATGTTTATCAATTTTCTTATTGATATTTACCGATTTTGTTATCGATATTTATCGATTTTGTTATCCATATTTATAGATTGTGGTATCTATATTTATCGATTTTGTTCTTCATATTTATCGATTTTGTTATGGATATTTTTATCGATTTTGTTATCGATATTTTTATCGATTTTGTTATGGATATTTTTATCGATATAATAGATTTTGCTACCAATATTATTATTAATTATTTTGCCATCGAAACTTTTATCGAATTTTTCATCGATTTTGTTATCGATATTTTAATCGGTTTTGTTATCGATATTTTATTGGGTGTTACTATCGATAGAGTATAAAGATAAAAATGAAGATAAAGGAAAACA